AGCATTAAAAAAAATCCTACATTAATTTGTTTAAAGAACTAGTACTAATATTCATAATTTTATAGTCTCATATTAAAATGTTTGGCAAATGTGTGAAATTATACTAATTTTATATATATACTTTTTATGTGCCCAATGGCATTTTACATTTATTCCATTTATTTTCACCTGTCCCACAGGTGGACAGGTGAAAATAACATTTTTTACCTACACAGATGAACAGACGAGGCCTCTGAGAAGTGATTTGCCCTAAGGTTACAAAGAAATAGAATGAAAACTCATTCTGTTTATGTGTAAAGTCCAATGACTGTTTCTATAACTGGCCTGTTAGAATGACTGTGTTTTTGCCTTTGTCTTCTTATTTAAAAATGTTATTAAAAAGTATCACATTAAGAAAGTAACACGAGTCAGATAAAACTTAGAGAAATAAGTTTTCAGTAAGAACCGAAGGCCTCATGAATCTTTTCGACTGTGTACTTTTTTCAATAGCTTAGGAATACACTCCGCTTTCTTTTGGGAAACGTGGCCGGCTTCAACCCGGAGACAGATTCCGTCCCTGTGGAGGACATGTATGTCATAGACCAGTACATGCTGCACTTGCTCCAGGACCTGGCCAACAAGGCAAGTGTGACCGAGCAAGCGCTTGGGAGGTGGCGGCGTCAGCACTGAGGGGGTTGAAATTTGAGTGGCGCCCCAGCGAAGCCCCGCTGGAAATCACAGCGCTGGGAGAGGTTGCCCTTGATGGGTTCCCACGCATGCCTAGGTTGACCGTAGGTCTGAAGTCATCTTTCTGTCCTCGCTTCTCAAAGGATGAGAGGCGCCTCATGGGAACAAGAGGCCCAGACTGCTCAGACCACGTTTTTCTCTCAGCGCCAGCTGTGTATGCGGCAGATTTGTACTTTATCTACCCGCACGTGGCCCCCTCCAAGCCCCGAGATAACTGCAGTGAGGATTCACGTGTTCTAAGATATTTTCTAGTTTGTAGACAGACGCACATAATTTGTGTTTTCTCAAAAACTGGAAACGTGGCAGCCTCCGCGGGCCCCGAAGTCGGAGGCGAACAGCCAACTTGCGTCCAGAGGTCCTTTCAGGCATAACCGAGGGCCGGCGGGGAGCTGCCTGTCCGCGGTCGCTGGGCGGTGCGGCTCCGCATTTAAAGCCTGATGCTGTCCGCGCGAGCGTGCCTTCGTAGCTTGCGGAGTCAGGTGGTCAGCACTTGGAGGGGTCGCATTTGTGCCCGGAAGTGACGCGTGGGAGGCTGGGCGCTCGCTGGGTCGCGGTTCCGTATTTGCCTTTGAAAGCTGCTCGCGGGAGGCGTGCGTTTCGCTTAGGCCGCCCCGCGTCTCCACGCACTCACCCACGCGTCCGGCTTCGTTCCCCAGGTTACCGATTCCTACAAACAGTACGATTTTGGGAAAGTCGTTCGGCTGCTGCGAGCCTTTTACACCAGAGAACTCTCTAACTTTTACTTCAGCATAATCAAAGACAGGTAGGTGACCGGGGGCTGGGCCACCCGGCCGTCTGCGTCTGCTCTGCCCGGCAGGTGTGGGCGGCTCGAGAGTCGAGCCCGATCGTGGGTCTTTGCCCTGCCACCGACCAGCTTCACGATTTCTGGCACCTTATCTGATAACCTCAGTTTTGTCTATGACATGCTGATGCTAACACCATCTCATAATGTGGTCGTGAGAACGGAGAATAATGTAAGTCATGTGCTTCATTCTGTGTCTGACAAAGGAAGTGCTCAGGGTGATGAACACGGATCCCCGAGAGTCTGTAAATCTCAAGGGGGAGGGGGCCTTGTCGGGGTGGGCGGTCACACGTTCGATGCCACCAACTCACTTATCAGTTGGCCTTCAATGCAGCTGTGATCTGAAAACCGGAGTTGGACACTTCATAGCTGAGTCTTTTGAAGGCACAACTGGAAGGAGTCAAGCGCAATAGAAGATATTAGAAAAAATTGTGTGATAGAATCTTATTCTTTAATTCAAAGACGATTAGATCCTTAGAATTAGCCACCGTGAGCATAAGCTCAGCCGGGGACAGCGCCAGCCTCAGGGGTCGTCACCTGCCGAGTTTGTTCCCGTTCAGGCTCTACTGTGAAAACGCGGATGATCCCAAACGGCGCTCTTGCCAGACTGCGCTGGCCGAAATTCTGGATGTCGTCGTTCGTTCCTTTGCTCCTATTCTTCCTCACTTGGCCGAAGAGGTTTTCCAGCACATACCGTATCTCAAGGGTAAGGACCGCTGCGCTGCTCTCCACGTGAGGAAGGCCCCTTGCGAGGCGCAGCCTGTCGGTGTACCTCGGCACACAAGGGGAGTTTACTCCTTACGGTGAATGACTTGAGGCACGATGTGTCGCTTCGTAGTCTCTGCTGGCTGCAGAGGAGTGGGGTGGATTTAGAATGGCCTTCGAGCCACCTTGAGGTGCTTTCTGTAAGCATTTTTGATAGTTTCCCCCTCTGTTAGCTTATAGAAAATCAGAAATTTGGAAAGAGGAAAAAGTCACTTAACCTAACTACCCAAAGACAACTACTGATAATATTGGGATAGTTTATTTTCTTCTAGGCATCCTTTTTTCTTTGAGATCTTACTATGTATTTCCTCCTGTTTAAATGTGGCCTAATTACGTCCATGAAAACGTCAGTGAGCATTTAGGACGGCACAGAATTTCATCCCACGATTACCTTAGCGATCCTCATTCCCAGTGGATTGTGAATGTTTATGGTCCGTGCTTTACGTGCAGTTCAGAATGTGTGAACGTGAGCTTTGTTTTTAAGAGCCCAGGAGCGTGTTCCGCAGCGGGTGGATCCGCACGAGTTCCATCTGGAAGAAGCCGGGCCTGGTGGAGGCCGTGGAGAGCGCGTGCGCCATGAGGGACGCGTTTCTGGGGAGCATCCCCGGCCAGAGCGCGGCCGCGTACAGCGTCGTCATTGTCATAGAGCCCGGGCTGCTGTTCGAGATAATAGAGGTGAGCGTCAGTCCGTGCCTTCTGAAACGGTCTTAGCGTCACACACTTGCGCCTGAAATTTTTTCTAAAAATCTCTCAATTTTACCTAATTAAAAAATTAGGAATCAGGATGTGTGTCTTCCAGCGCTAGTATCATGGCCGACTCTGTCACACAGTGACTTCCTTGCTGCTCGACGCTGGTGGTCGTCTTAGCATACAGAAAATTGGACGTGTTGTTAACGGGCTTGGTTTTCTGGGAACTTTGTCCACGTGGATAGGATTCAAAACATCCCAAAGTAGATGTTCATTTTTTCTCTCCTGTGATCTGGAAGCTCCATCGCGTTTTCACCTCCGGGGCCGCGGGCCCTCTTCTCGGGAGTCTTAGGGGTGGGTCGGCCAGACTGGCTCAGAGCTTAACACACTGACTCAATATCCTTCTCTGGTTTTAATGCTTACAAGAATTGGCAGTGAATGTATTTCAGTTTTACTGGTATTGTAGTTTCTAAAAAATGACCGCCTCATTTGGTTGGCGGGCTCGATTTGAATTTCTAATATTATAATGCAGAGTTGAGGCTTGAAACACCTCGTAGATAATCAGATAAGAATTGGTAAAATATTCACATTTTAAAATGTGAGGTTGGGAGGTTCTGACTCCATTTCATGAGCGAGGAAATGGGACCTCTGAAGCTGTGACCCGAGGTCTCGTGGCCTCGTTCGGAGCTCGCGCTCCGTGTCAGTTTCCTTTGACTTCATTCGCTCGAATAAAAGCTGAAAAGAAGACAGCCCGTTTGGTTCATTTGTTTTAGGAAAAACACCTTGAATGTGAATATATTTTCCTTAGGAATCACATTTAGCCTTGGTCCTGTCAGTTCCTGATTAACTGCGTGTTAAAGCCAGCTTCGTCTCTGAATCTCATTCTCAGCCTTTTCTAAAGGAATGTATTAGCTCACAGACTCATCTTGAAGATCAGGGTGACAATGCAAAATGTAAAAGTGCTTTTCAGACACCCAGCCAGATGGCCGTCACTGGTAAAAGCAGGCCCTCGTGTAGACGTGTCGTAACCCGCTCCCGCTGTGGGAAGCGGGGTGCAGGGGAGCGCTGTGGGCTTTGGAGCTGACGGACGGGCTGGAATGGCAGAGTCCGGCAAGCTAGTTAAATTAACCATTCTGAGCCTGTTTCTTCATTCGTAAAGGGAGATAATTAACACCGTGTAGGTGTTTGTGACGATTAGAAATGATGGACATTTAGCATCTAGCAAAGTGAGGAGCCGGCAAGGAGTATATTCTCAATAAATAGTACTGTTCATTGGATGTTTTTAGTTAGAACCTTTCATACTAAGAACTGATGTACTTTAATGGTATTAGCATCGGAGGTAACGGTAGCAGAGGTTTCTCAGTAAACGTGAGAATTTACAGTGTCAGTAACCGTTTATGGTAACAGTTAATGCAGACAGTAACTCACTCGCTCACTCCCAGATGCTACAAGCTGAGGAGACGTCCAGCACCTCTCAGCTGAATGAGTTAATGATGGCCTCCCAGACGACTCTCCTCTCCCAGGAGCCCCGAGAGCGAGCCGCAGATGCGATCGAGCTCACAGGGACCTTCCTCATCAATTTAGAAGGTGAGGAGGGAGGACGAGGTGTCTGGAGCACTGAGTGACGCCTGCGGCTCGTCGCCAGCTTCCCGGCGGCCGTGCGTTCTGCGGGCGGCGCTGTGCCTGGCTCACAGCGCTCTGCGGAAGCCGGCTTTAGAAAGCGTGCTTTGGAAACAGCTCTCAAAAGTGTGATCTGGGGAACACGGGGCCAGGCAATTGTCACTGCATGTGAAGTTGGTCGCCTTCACTCCTGCTTGGCCCTTGTGTCTCCTGCCCTCCCCCAGCTTTGATCCTGCCGCTTATTGTGTATACCCAAGCTAAAGTCGTATTTAGTCGTTCTCAGGGGTTACGGGGAGTTTCATGGGACTCATTCCCGTGGTGGTAGCTCGTAAGCGCGCATCTTGCAGGTGTTGGTCAACCTAATTCGTTCTCTTTCACGGAAGTGGAGGCAGAATAACATGCAGACACTTGGGGGAAACGCTGCTGCCTGTCTTTCATACTAGCTTCGGGTACCGGCAGGCGGTGGGAGGCTGGCTTGGGGGCAGCACGGAGCACAGAGTGAGGCTGGGGCTCCACCTGCTTTTCACAGCGTTAACAGGGTCTTTGTGCAATGACTAGGGAATAATTTATCTTTACCACATGTTAACAGTCCGAGGTGTAAGAGTATTAAGAGTGGAGGAAGTTTTGTGTCAAGTGGGGACACCGCAGTGGTCACTGTCATTTGGCTCGTTTTAAAATTCTTAAGTGTGCAGCTGGAAAGGCAGTTGTAACTTATCGGAACTAGGCCTGGAGTAAGAGCTTGAAGGCCTGAGTGGGCACAGAACCCAGCGACTCAGGGAAAAATCAGTTAATCTCTCAGATTCCTCAGCTTTCCTCGGGAGTCAAGTTGTTGTGACTCCGCTGTGTTGGCTGTTTACGTAACGTGACGAGCTGGACCAGGGCGAAGGAGAAAACTTGGAAAAGCGGCACCTGCGAAACCACATAGAAAGCGACACAAGTTGGGTGCGTTTCTCTTTCGCAGGTGGCGATATTCGTGAAGAGTCTTCATATAAGGTGATCGTCACGCCAACTACCAAAGAAAAATGCCCTCGCTGCTGGAAGTACACAGCCGAGTCCTCAGAGGCCCCCTGTCCCCGGTGCGCAGACGTCCTGGGTGGCAAGTAGTACCTCCCCCTAGTGGTGACAGCGAGCCCGGCAGGCCCCGCCGTACCGGCCGGGGTGACGGACGGTTGGTTTACAAGCCTGGAAGGAGATCCAAGGTCTAGGTAATGAGTGGGAGCGTAAGGGGTGGAGGGTGAGCGTCCAAGTAAGAATTATAAGATTTTCCTGTAACTAGATAAAAAATGTGTACATACACACGTGCAGAGACACACATGTGCAGACGGACAGCCACGTATCCGTGATGGACTCATGCAGAACAGACTCAACACGCTTGCCCTCAAACGGGCTGAGCAGAAAATCTTTTATATCTTACAAATATTGTTTTAGTATTTAAGTTCTATAATATCTAAAAAATAAAGGCATTCTAGAAAGTTACTGAATGTTGGTGCAGAACTTGTGACTATCAAGTAAGAAAATGGTTTTGAAGGGGAATGGCAGAGGTGTGTTTAAGAGATGATGAATTTCATTCTGCCTAACTAGCAAACACCAGCCTTTACAGAATAGCGGGTTTGGCTGTATTAGAACATCACCAATACTGTTATTCTCATACAACAGGGGAAAAAATATAGTATGTACTTAGAGTTACAAATGTTAAGGAAACATGAAAGCCGAAAATTTATTTCACTAATATACATAAGTTCACAACAATGAACAGACACAAAACAGCAGTATATACAGAATTTCACTACTTACAGTACGTTACATTAGATAATTGAGCATTTTACAAAGAACTCAGTGTTGCATTAAAATCTTTCTGGGGATGGCTAATCCTATCCAGCGGAAATCTAACTTTTAGAAGTCGAACAAATCCACTCCTCCGGTGAGAGCGCTTTTCCTGTTGCTCTCGAGTACTTTAAAAATATTTCTCTTAAAAAGTAAATGAATCACAGCAACTTCTAAATGAACGTTATATTCCATGTAAGCTTAGTATTATTAAACCTGGGTACTCTGTCATTTTAAATTGCAATTGATTGTGTCTTTTAAACAAAGCAATTTAAATGTGAGTGTTCACTCTTGACCTTACGTGAACGTTTTAAGAGGTGACGTCCTCTTTTCTCCATTTTTCTTTTTGCAAAAGTAGGAAGTGTTTAGGAAGTTGGGGCTCTGCCTCTGGCTCTGCGTCTCGACACAGCAGTGTGGAGGTTACGGTTGCGTGAGCTCTTGCTGTCATTCAGCGTCCTACGACGGACTTTGACATGTCTGTTTAGTGTTCGTGACGCAAGGTGTATGGCAAACACCGGCCTCCCGGCCTCCCGTCGTAACTGCAGCGAGTGTGACGGACCCTTTGTTTCGGAAAGCACCCGCTCTGCGAAAAACCCGGTCCCTTCACCTGTGCCGCTTCGCCGTCCCAGGACGTCCACAGGCATACCTCGGCGACACTGCTCTCTCTGCTGCTGGAGGGTCTCGCCTTCAGTCTGTGAGAAACTCGGCATCTGTGAAGTGCAGTACGACGAGGTATGCCTGTCCACGGCGATTTATTTTCTTCTGTCAGATTTTATTTTAAAAGCCCTTGATGAAATAGTAACATGTTTGCAAGTCAGAATTTAAAAATTCCGAGTGGTAAATTTTAGGACCGCAGCTGTAGAGACTGATGTGTTATGGTTCTGTGTGTCATGTTTCAGCTGATCAGTGTTCTCAATAATCCCCAAGTCTGACTGCGTTCTCACAGTAACTTTAAACAGTCTTAGTCTCAAACGTGTGTATTAGGTAGGTGCTCCTCCCCAGAAAGCAATCATGGAACCAGAGTGAGGGCTGACTCTTTAAAAACACTTGGAATTCCAAGCTGCTTTGACCAGCCTCCAAATTTTATAACTACTTTTGGAATATTTAGAAAAATCGCAGGAAGAACTACTCTCTTAGAACACACATAACAAGCGACTCTAAGGCGAGAATGTCTGCGGGAAACGGTGACATGCGTCTAGCTGGGGGCTCAGAGACTCGGGCAGAGTCCGTGGGACAGGCGAGCTCACGGGCCCTGGCAGCATGTGCCTCGCTCAGATGTCTAAGGCCCTCGAAGCATCTAAAACGGTACTTTCCAACATCTTAAAGAGTAGGTTCTCATTTGGATGTGGTCTTTAGTTAAAAGGAATTTACACTGGGATCTCCTCAGGCTTTTTTCTTTACATCCCCGAAAGACATACTCAACTTTGTACAGCTGCTAGAGCTGGCCTCTTACAAAGGGAAGAAACAAACTTCTGTCTCACAATGAGTTACTATGGTAATTGTGACCCGGGACAGGTGTCAGTAATTGCACTGTATGGCTACATTTCAGAGATAAACCATAATAAATACTGGGTATTTGGGGAGCTCAAAGCACTTTTTACAGAGTTTTGGTCAATTTGGTTTTAATCAAGTAATGATTCCGCACTTGGACTGCTCTAGGCGCTGTAGGGTACAAAGTTCGTTGTATTTGACCCTCTCAACCCAGCTGTGAGGTAGGTTTGCTAAAGCTGTAACATCACTAAGCGTTTTTCTGTACCGTTTCCGAGAACAGCTAACAGAACCGAATCCCAGAAGCAAACATCTCTAAACACTCGCAGGAAAATTGAAATTGGATTTAAATTTTTAGCAACTTCGCCTTTTTTTAAAACATGTTTTACAAGATAATACATTTTTTACAATTACCTGGTGTGGATACAGCTTTGAATCTTGGCAAAAATCAGACCTTACCTTGTATTGTAATGAGCTCTGCTGTGCTGCCTGTACCTCGGGGTCTCAAGATGGCAAGCACGACACACACTCTGGTACTAGAGAGGGTTCCATTTAATGTCCCTTCTGATGACAACCACGAACCCATTACTCCTCTGCAAGGTCACTGTCCTGATGGCAGCAGCATAACCTCTGCCGAAGAAACCCGTCAGCATCCAGAGCTCCAGGTGGCATCGGTATGGGGCTAAGCGTGACGACAAAAGCATCTTCCTAGCGTTTACTGAGGGACAGTGGGCTATACATGATGGGGACTACACACGAACACACAATAACACCGAGTATGAAATATAGAATCTTATAAGAACATAATCTGTAAGTTATAACCAATTTTAAATAGCAAAATTTAACAGTAGAGCTACTTAAGTGCTTGAATTAAACAGTAAAACATCTGTATTAGTAATAGAATAATTGATACTTATTTACATTTTACCTTCAGTATTAATCAAAGGAGTGGAATTTCGCCAGGACTGTACTTTTTTAAAGTAATGTACACTTTTATTTTATAAAAGAACATTCCCTCCATAAAATTCCAGTTGTTGCTATGTAAAATAATCATGCACTCATTCATGTCATAGTCACGATTTCAGGCTGTTTTCGGTCGCTCGGGGTCATAAGGCAGGCAGAGAGATGGCTTCCACCGCTTCCGTGAGGTGTAAGGCCAGACTGAACTGCCCGTGGTTTTCTGGTAAAAGCTCCATGACTTTGTTTACTAGTTTAGCTGTCATTGCGATTGGCACTTCTGTGTTCTGAAGATCCTGGGGGTCCTGCAAATGGGACACAGAAATGACCCGTCGGTCACGTACGACCGAACAGTGGCTACTGAAGAGCGATCAGGATCGTTCCTTCCCAGCGAGCTTAAGTGACTTCGTTCTGAGAAGCATAACTAGGCACGCATTTACGTCAACATCCGGTCACCTTCCGATCTATCTCATCTCTGTCGTACTCACCATCGCTTTCAGCCAGGTACAGAGTGTGGGCGAAAGTCTGGCGAGCAGCTCCATGCCTTCTTTGCTCTGGGTGCGGAGGAGGGCGTGGGCCAGCCTCTGGCCCGCCAACACCAGCAGCTGAGACGCAAGGACCTCTTTGTCGTGGACCTGGAGGATGGCCTGAGGAGAGGAACACGGGGAGCAGAGTAAGAGCTCAGAGACCGGCCAGCCCTGGGACAGGCGTGGTCGGGGGGTGCCTAGGTCACCGCGATCCGGGGCCAGGTCCACAGCCGACCCCTCGGCGGCACGGCTCTGAGCGGTCTGGCTCCTCTTGGACGTGGATTTTTTCAGCAAGTACCGTAAGTATATGATTTTCTTATCCTAATACGGCACATGATACATGTAACATATAAAATGTATGTTGACCGTGTTATCGTAAGGCCTCCGGCCAATAGTGGGCTGTAGTTACGTTTTGGGGAGTCAAAAGTTACACGTGGATTTTCAACTGTATGGAGGGTTGGCTCCTCTAAACCCACGTTCAAGGGTCAACTATATGACCAAACTGTGATCCAAATCACATTCAGCATTTAAAACCCAAATTTCTGCCATCACCTAATTTTTCAATTCAGTATGACTATACAAGTCATTGGCAAAGAAAAGAAATTGTATTAAATCTCCCATGACTGCTTAAGACCCTGATGGTTCCGAGGACACTATGATTCACCTCAGGCCACGAGACCGCCTGTAACGTGGCCCCTGGCGCCCTCCCTCACCATCCGCGCCTGACTCCTGCGTCGAGCACTGTTTCCCCAGCTTTGAGTTGGCTGGGTGCTGCTTTCCCTGGGGGCTTAGTTCAGACGTCACCTCTAGCCACTCGAGGGCAGTAGCTCCTGCTAGGCACAGGATCCCATTTTCTGCACAGCATCTATGACTCAGAATGACCCGGCCGCCGTTAGACCAGTGCCACGAGGGAGGGAGGAACCTCGTCCGTTATGTCTACGCCCTCTGCACGGGACAGGCCAGGCACACGGCAGTTTACTAAGCAGCATTAGCCAGAAACGTGATCAATTTTGTATTTTAATATTCTACGCTTGTGCCTAGAAGTTCTAGCGAAAGGAAAAGCGAACAGCTTCACTAGAGACGTGAGTGACTCTTTACTGGCACCGTCGGTCCTCTGGAGCCCGGTCAGCGCCCCTGGGTGGTCGTTACCTCTTCCGCCAGGTGGTCGGCCCCGTGGGTGTAGAGCTCCCCCACATAATGCCTCCTGACGACGTCTTCGCTGACTTGAAGGTGATGGGCCAAGTCCACGGCTAGAACTGGCCAGTCCTGGTCCTTCCCAAAAGCAGTGCTCGGTGCGTCTTCTGAATCTCTGTCCTTTGCGACTGAATGCTGGGCGTGGACAGCCGCGCTGATGACTTTCAGTAAGAACTGGAGAAGGGGGGGAGAGAGCAGCGTCTCAGGACGTTTCCTTAAAACTAAAGCAAAGCAAGCGTGGACTTTTCTGTTCTGTCAGAGTGGCTTTTCCATTAAGATCACATAGTTATCAGAGTAACACACAATTTAAAGGGAAACTAGGCCTCAAGAATACTATGAAGGCGGCATCCACAGAGGCCAGGTCCATTTTGGCTTTACTATTTTTTTCTCACATAAAAACAAAATCTAATAACTGAATTACCTGTTGTCGCACAGAAAGAAAATCTGGATCAATTTCCCCACTAGGCAGTAACTGAATTGAAGTCAGATCTTTGAAAAATGCATTTTTCCCCTAAAGAGAGAGACCAAGAAAGAAAACTGATAAGTATGGATTTTCATTAAGGGAGAAAAAAGATTTTAAAAAATCATTTAACTCATGGTTGATTTTTCCTCCAACAGTTACACTGTAGACTCTACTCAGGTTTCGTGACAACTGTCTGGACTGGCAGACACCTTCAAGGGGACCCAAGTGACCCCCTCCCTGAGTGTGGGCTGGTGACTCACTGCTAGAAAAGTTAGATGACCACATGTCACTTTCCCAATTAGGTTACCCAAGGACCGTGGCCTCTGGCCTGGGCGCTCGCCTCCTCTCTCCCTGGGGGAGGCCACCTGCCACCCAGTGAGCTGCGTGTGGCGAGGACCCGAAACACTCCCTGTCAGGTCAGACATGGCCCCGACCCGCACCCCACTGAGCCTTGAGATGAGACTGCAGACTCGTGAGAGACACTGCGCCAGAAACACCCGGCTCGGGGGAACCCAGATTCCTGACCCACAACAACGAGGACACTTGTTTTCCGCCCCTCAGTTTTGGGAAAATTTGTTCTGCAGTAAAAACTGACACTTCGTGTGTACTCTGAACCCGTTAGAGAACAGGTGTGTGTATGAAGAGCCCAAACAGAATATCAGGAAATAGGGTTTCTGGAGTTCCTTCGAGGGAAGGATGCAGAGCGCGGGCCTCGCGTCTCAGGTCCGTCCTCCCCACCCCCAGGGGACGGAGACGCCCATCAGAAAATAGGGTTTCTGGAGTTCCTTCGAGGGAAGGCGATGCGGAGCGCGGGCCTCGCGTCCCGGGTCCGTCCTCCCCACCCCCAGGGGACGGAGACGCCCACGGTGAGAAGCCGGTCCCTTCCGGTCCCTTTCGCAGCAGTCTGCTTCCCGTTCTCCTTGTGCCTGAACCCTCAGCTCCCAGGTGGCTCTGAAACCCTTTCAGGTACTGACCTTACTATCAAAGAGCGACAGTGGCTTCACCGCCTTCAGAGAAAACCGCATGACCGCGTACAGCACGGAGCACAGGACGGAGTGGTGCTCCACCAGCGGATAGTGCGTGCGCTTCTGGTCCAGGGCCAGCTCCACGATGGACACCGGTCCTTCGACAGCCTGCCAGGCGTCCTCCGTGCCCAGGACGGGCACTTGCATTTCGTCCCTGCTCACATCTGCCTGCGTGTGAGGGAACGGAGAGCGGCTCAGAACTGCAGACCCACAGCTTGCAAACGTCTTCGTGAGCCTGCGGCCGCCACGCGCAAGCCCGTGCTGCTCCCCGCCCCGAATTAAAGACCCCGAGATCGGAACCTGATAAGATACCCCTGCAGTCAAAACGTTTTCATTTACTCATTTCTATCTTTCTGTAGTCCCTTCGCCCATGAGTTTCAAAACGTTTGCCATCTCAGACCGTTGAGAATGAAAGCCCCTCCTACCTCCATTAACGTCTGCAGGAGATCCAAACAGGAGCCCAGGAAAGAGGTCAGGGCCGTGTCGCTCATCCCCACGTCCTGTTTTTCAAAGGGACATAATTAACTCCTGCAGTAAAACTCCTTTAGTTTCCACCAGAAACAAAAACAACACACTATTCAAGTGACTTTCTACACTGAACACACAGGCAAAAATTAAGCCAAGGCTTTAACACATTATTAACTTCTTTCTATAGAGTTAGCTAATTTTAATATTAGGCTTCGAAAAGATGGTACCACTACCAACTTGTAGGAGTTCACATTCTTGGTGTAAGACAGTGTCGTCAGTCACCACGGGTCATGGCACTCACCCTCACTGTCCAAGAACTCACAGGAGACAGGCATTTGATAGCCAAATAACATGGTGTACAGAACACACACACAAAGGTCCAGGTGACAGTTCTAAGAAAACAGCCTGGTCTGACCTCAGAGCACCTTTTAGGGACTGAACTAAACTTCTGATATAACCCAAGTCCCCGGGCCTGTGACCTAAAGACCAGGCTTGCACTGTGGGAGACAGGCCTTTGCTGTGGACTCCTTCAGGCCTGTCCAAGGGGCCACTGCGTTCACATGTGGCCTTTTTAAAATCGACAACCAATAAATTCCTCTCGTCCCCAAGTAATTCAGAGTGTGTGCACGCACGTACACATCAACTGTAGTCACAGACACTCAAGCACATACCAGAATTCAATGGTGATTTGGGACTAACAGCCTATAACAGCTGGATTTTTATGTCCCAGTGTCTCAAGATATTTGTAATAAGGATATTTCAAAGTTTTGAGCAAAAGCTCACACTATTAATCGCTGGCTTCAAATGTAAGCCTCAGTATCTATGGACTGGAGTACTAAGACTGCACAACTGCCATTACGTAAAGGTAGATCAAGGGCACCGCTGAGGAATCTACTTCACTCTGATGCGGGTCCCATTACAAATCCCTAGTCTGGAGCACAGCAACACTGCAGCATGTCACTCTATCCACGACCCGGAGTCCACGTCTCGTGCAGCCCTCGTGCAGACACGCTGGCTGACGATCTGGAAGGGTCGGGACAGGCCGGAGTTCACGAGCCGTTCCCTCGGTCGTGTCCCCTTCCGTTTCCCTCCGGACATGTCATCAGAATGGTAAAAGGCGAAGTTCGCCCCCTGAGTGAGGTGCCACCGCGGTGCGGGGCTGAAGGAGACGGCTTACCCTGCGGCACAACCGGTCCTTGGGCGACTTTCCCACCTAGGACACAAGGACACAACGCTGCCATTACTGAGAGTGTAGAGACCGGGCATTACGCGGTTCAAGAAGCAACAGCCAGATTCTGAAAACGTGAACGGGGCAACCTTTCATCAATTACACGTTGGTTCTACTCACAACGATGCATCTAATTCTGTGGTGGGGCATAAAACAGTATGACAAAAAACTTATCGCACCACAAGATTTAGCACAATCCTTTTCAAAAATAAGTATTACTGAACACCTAAATACACAAAAACTCAATCTGGTTCGTTCTTTTTAAATTAAAGATCCAGAACCAAACTCAAGGCAACTAACAAAAAGATAAGAATTTTGCTTGTTGATAAAGATACAGGATGATTTTAAATGGTCAGAAAGAAGGAACCATCTAAAGCAGACACATCCTGTTTCTAGCTCAGAATCAGCTGGTCTCCTTGGTCTGATGATAAGACCGTGCTGTATACCGTACACAGGGCCGTGGGTGGCAGAGCGAAGTTCTGCCATCAGGAACTTTCGCTGAGAAGAATTCACAGGAGACGGTGACAGTGGAGGGGGCGGCTCCACTAATGGACTCTTCACGTCTGCCTCTCACTGAGCTGGCTGCGATGGCCGTGGGACAAGCACGCTCAGCCACCCGAAGTCCCACGTACTTCATTCACCTTGTTACCAGAGTCACCTTCTAAAACACAGACCTGCCCATCTCATCCCACTGCTTAAGATCGCCCCTGCGTCTTCAGGATAAATCACAGCTCTGCTACCGAGCCCTCAGCCCACGGCCCAGCCCGGCCCGTGCTAAGCAGCTGACACGTGGCTGGAAAGTCCCAGAGCCACGGCCAGCACAGCGAGCCCTCACACACCGCTTCCCGCTCCCTCCTCCGGCCTGCGCCTTGCCTCCACGTCGCCCACACGGAGCCACTTGCAGGACAGCTAGAGGGCGTTTCCTCCCTGGTTCACACGTGCTCTTCCTCCAAGGCAGCCCAGAAGCCTCCCCGGGCCTCACTTACTGCCTATTCTGCGTCCCCACAGCGCCCTGTCGTCTAGCTACCCGTCCTGCAGACTGTGACACCCCTGCAGCCACGGAATGTGGCACAACCCTTGCCACAGAGGAGACACTTCACATATTTACCCAGTGATGCTCATAACTCCGCTTTCTGGTTCACACTTTCAATCCGAGCTGCAAGGACGTTGTAAATGGAACAGTGACCCACACATAAGGCTGTGCGTTACCCCCTCAGGGGCGGGGGGGGTGGTCACAGAGGCCAGGGGAGGGGGTTTCGAGAAAGCTGAGTACACAGACAGCGGACTGGAGGCAAGCTCCCCGTGGCGCCCCAGGAGGCATTTTCAGAGGAGCTGCGCTCGGACTGGGTCTGAATCCTAGTGCTGGTGGTGGTTCGGGAGTGTCTGTCACTGCGTCTCACGTCCACTTAAACTGACGCCAGGTGCAGCCACGTCCTCGGCTGGCCTGTGCAGCACGCTGACTAGGCCCCCGGCCACTTACTGTCCAGTACGCTGGTGGCCTCTGCTCCCACTAGCTGAGTTATCTGCTTCCAGGTTAGGTTTGTTCCCAAATCTACTTACGCTGGTTGGACAGGCCATGATTACGTAATTTAACTCAGTAACTGATGAAACGTGAATGAGGAAAAAGAAGGAGTTGTTTATACAGACGCGTTGTGGGGCGCTTCAGGATTTGTGGAGGGCAGCAGCTAGCTGCTAGGCCGCGGGCTTAGACACAGGGCGCTGCTATGAAGACCAGGGTGAGTTATAAAAATCTCAATGCTGCCCGCAGACTGCACCACAGCGTCAAAGAAAAAGGACCGAGAATTCTTAGGCCACCTCCTATGGAGATGTCTATGTAGGAAAACCACAGAATTTCAAAGGAAACATCCTGGCCGCATCCAGGTATCGGTCGGGGCTCGTTTCTACGTTTCAGTGTAGAAGAAGGTGCAGATCCTTGCTTGAGCGAGTCCAGCCCTCGCTTCTTGGGTTAAGAGGCTTTTACGGTATGGGACTCTCTTTCAGGGGTTGGGGCTCCCATGTGGGTCATCAGATGCCAGCACCGGGAATGACATTTCACTGAGCAAGAGTAAAATGCACTGCCAAATACACAGTCTAACGAAGCCCAAGGTAAATCATTTTTCTAACATCAATTAAGAGCATCAAACAGGAAGTCAGTACGAGAAATCGAAAGTTACCTTATCCATCAAGTACGCAGCAGCGGAAAACCTTTTCACCACGAACGTGTTCCACATCATCAGGGCGAGGCCTAGAGAGCAAGTCAGAGCAGCGTCAGCGGAAGGCTCGCCTGATCTGTTCCATCGTACTCAGCTAACGGCTGTCTTCCTGAAGCTTATTAAACTCTGTGGGCTATTTACATATCATGTATCCTATGTAATATTTATAAAATAAAAACCTTTAATAAAAATCAAAACGAGGCTGCACAAGAGGATGTCCACACGGCCACTAAGCACAAGTAGAGATTCACGTCACTGGTTTATGAGAGGAGGATACAATCGCAAAGAGGTGTCACTACACAACCAGAAAAGGTGAAAAACATTTTTCTAAATGACACCACCAAGTGCTGGCAAGAATGTGGAAACATCCGGAACGCTCACACGTTGCTGCTGGGAAAAGAGAATTGGTAAAACCACCTGGGAAACTGGCGGTGTCAATCAAAGCGAGACGTGTGTCACCCCATGACCGAGCAGTTCTGCAGAAACGAACACAGAGACGCACAGGGCGTCGAGACTGGCTCCGTCCCTTGGGGCCCAGCGCGCGAAGCAAACCCAAGGTCCTGCCTGCAATTTACGTAATCGCCTAATAAAGCAACCGATAAAGTAAACAATACAAAAATATTTTACAAAAATACCACCGAACACAAAACCTGGTCTTTATACTTTCATATTCAATCAACTGTGGCACTGAAATTAAAATTTCTGAAGCAGCTGTCAGCCGGGCAGCACAAACACGACGTTTTACACGCGGTCGTTCCGACCCACGTCACCGCTTCTGCATCTGGGAGCGAGGTCCTGCCCGGCTGGGAAGGAGCCGGAGGCTGACTGCGGACCGGGCCAAGCGCTAACTCACACTAGCCTGACATCCTTTTATTAGGAAGGACAGAGTGCGAAAATGGAAGGTAAGATCTAAGAGATGAGCAGATAAAATAATCAAGTTCTGTTATGCAAAACAAGACGTTTTAGAACTTCTGCAATTCCGCTCCATCCCACCTGCAGGAAGGTGGGCCCGGAGAAGCCGGCAGCTCCTCTAGGACGCGTGCGTGGGGCGGTACCTCCTCTCACCGGCCACCACTTAGTGAGGCGGCTCGCAGGCCTAGCGCTGAGGTCCTCCATGAGTTCTCAAAGGAAACTCATCGATTAAATGGAGCCAGCAACCTGCTTATCATTTTCTACAACGAGTGTAACGTTTTTTCCAAGGAGACACCAGCAGTCCCCATGGCATGGCAGTCGATGGGGAACCTGAGCACACACAGGTAGCTTCTAGGGTACGGTATCATGAGGCTTTGTTGGGCTCCCTGACTTTTCAGTCGGGAATTACGGTCCTGGGCAGCCCGTCCCTCTTTCCTGACCTGCCCGTGAACTAAAGAGAGAATCCACAATTCGTGCGTCATGTTCTCCTTACGCGCAGGAAGAGCAGCGCGGGAAATGGTGGGTGGGGACAGGAGGGGACCATTGCTCTCTCCCTGCCCTGGAGAGCATTTCCCAAGCAGTGAGGACAGCCAGGACTGTGCACGCGGGGACGCACAGGAGCGTGCTCGGCCGTGGGGCCAGCGAGCCAAAGTTAGCGGGACGCTGACCTGCCTCTTCTGAGCCAAATGCTCACGTTCTGACGGCCACGCACTTACCGTTCTGAACATGTCCGTTAAGGATGTGCTTCAAGTGCTCTATCGACCTCATGAAAAAACGCGCTTCCTTACATACAGGAGAGAAAAGAAAAAATACGTCATTTAACAGACATTTCAAATACAAACGGAGACTTCTTACATGAATTTCTGCATAAAGCTGCCTAAGAATGCTGTGGTAAGAACGCCGAGCTAGGTTAGAAGCGGTTTTCCATAAGATAATGCGTGGTCTCGTCCACATCTACACTTTCTCCGTGATGACTGATTCCTAGAAACCCCCAGATCACACGTGCTGACATCGAATTCAGAATTTCCTGTGGTTTCTGCATCATGGCAGTGTTCTCTCTAGTGAATACTTGAATTTCACACAGATATGGAAACCATGGGTTTACTTCTTTGCAAATATCTTCAATCCTTCAATCATTATTCGACAAATATTTATTGAGCAACTACTCTGCACCAGGCTGTCTGAGTCCCCAGAAATACTGTAATGAACAAAAACAGACCTAAATCCTTGCCGTCGCTGAGGTTAGATTCTAGTGATAAATGCCGAGGAGAAAGCGTTCAAGCGGTGAAGGGAAATAGGAAATCTCGGAGGGCGTTTGAACGTTTTCTAATCAGTTAACATATTAAAACGCCAACATGCTGTGTAAACCTTTACCCAGAAATTGTCCAGATCTTGGCCGAATAATTCTGTAGCTCGAGCAAAGGTCGAACACACCGCCTTTGGCGACGTCAGGTGTTCCGAGCCTGATAAAGCGCTGCGTGTGGAATGGTGAGTCTGGGGTAGGGACTGGACGGGCAAGGAGGTATTCGACGGGAGAAAACCAAATGCAAAAATGGCCCCTTATTTTACACTGTTCTAACAATAACAATAATGTCGGGCACTATGTGCGTTTGTCTGCATAAGCTGCCAGGACCTTGGAGATGGCGACTGTCACGGTCTCGTTTCCTTTAAGGAGAACAGTGACAGCACAGGGTTCAGAGACCTTCTCGAAGCCACTAACTAGTGACGGGGCTTGAGCTCAGCTCCGTGTCCACGATGCAGACCGCCTCTGGTTTTATAAGCCAGTGCTGGACAACGGGGCGTGTGCTCTGAAACGTCACTCGCTTAGTCCGGAGTCTGGAACCGATGCATTCGGGTTGTAGGAATTTTGTCCTTGTTTTAGTCCTGACATTCTCTTCAGGTAGGAGCAATAACTCATTTAAGGAGAGAGGCTAAATGTGAGCAGCAC